TATATATATTTATTTATTTATTTATTTTACATTTCAAAACATCATACGAACTACATTGACAAACACTTATACTCCTGAATGAAAGTCAAACCCATTACACCGTTTTGTTATTTTTCTTAAGACTTGTGTGGAGCTATGTGTTGAAAACATAAGCATCCATCTCTTTGGTGGATTTGTCAAAGTAGTCCATGTAACCATGTGGAGGATCAATATCCTCGTTGATCTTCTCATATTCAATGGTCCATTTAACAGCGGCACCACCATCATTCTTGTCAATCACTTGAAGGATCAGCTTAAAGCTTTTGTACTGCTGATTGATATCTCCTCCAAAGAGTTTGAAATTGATTGTTTTATCCTGTTCATCAATGGATTCAATAGTCTCCTGAGCTTTATGTACCTTGCCGTCTGGTATTTCAGAAGAAATTAAATATAACATAAAAGTTGTGCTTACGAATAGGGGTGTGCAAAAAATCCAAATTGATCCGAACCAATCCATAACAGATCCGATCCATATTGAAAAATCCGATCCATTTTGAAAAAAAATCCGAACCAAACCACTTTTAAAACCGGTTCAGTTATCCGATCCATTTTTACAAAGTGAATCGGTTTGGTTTTTTAAAAAAATCGATCCATATATGAATAAAAAGTGGATAACTGCACCGCACCGAACCGATCCAATTTCAAAAAAATCGATCCATATTTTAAAAGAATCAAACCGATTCACTTTATAAAAAATGGATCGGTTAACCGATCCACTTTTATAAAACAGTTCGATTCGGTTTGGATCGGTTTTTTGACAAAACCGATCCATGAACACCCCTACTTACGAATTATAGAAATATAAGTACTATTTCAATTCAACCGTAAACATATTGTGTTATCTTTATTTGATTCAATTTATTTGTTAAATATTTAGTTTTTTTTAAACTTTTTTTATACTTACAATATTTTTGAAACCAAAAAACTAAAAATTGATATTTTTATAGTTAAAAAAAATAAAATCAAACTGAACAAATAAGTTTAGGGTTTGTTTGAAAAAAAATGTATAAATACTTTTAAGAGAAGAAAACTGAAAAAAAAAATGAAATTAAACTTGTTCAAAATTTAAAATTAACTTATACATAAGACATAATGTTAAAAAACTAATATAAGAAAACTTTTATAAATTAGCTTAGGATTTGTTGGGATAAACTTCTCCAAAAATGCTTCTAGAAGAAAAAAATGAAATGATTTTTTCAATAAACTAAAACTAACTTATATATAAATTAAAAATAAGATTTTAGAGAACTTCTACAAATTTATTTGTGCTTAAATTAATTATAATTTATGGAAAAAACTTACTTTATTTTATCTTCCTATTTTTCTCTCTTAAAAATATTTCCAAAAAAATTTATCTAAATAAATCTTTATGAATAAATTTATTTAGATTAAATGTACTTTTAGTCGTTAACCTTTATCGATTATCTAAATAGTCACTACACAAATTTTGTAATACTTAGTGCTTAAATTTATCATGATTTTCACTTTTATTTCCTAAGCCTTTTTTATTCATTAGATTTTTTTGTCTCCGTCATCAATATTTTTTATTCTTTAGGAAAATTTTAAGAATTAAAACTAAATAAAACTTGTTCAAAGAGTAAAAGTGAAAATTAAAAAATGTTCAAATAACAAGAAAAACATATTTAATCATAGTAAATTTTAGTGTTTGTAAAACTTTTTTTTTTCCTTACATTTTGTCTTATAAGTAAGTTTAAATATACGCTTAATGTATTCATATTTGTTAGCATATTAATGGATTAGAAATGTAGATACCTATGACATATGTCCAGTGTTTAACCGAGTTGCCAACGCCGTGCCAGTCATCACCTTGATGCAGCTTGGTTTCATGCACTCTCTCACAAAGGTTTTGAATATGGTGCTGTTTCGTAGTTAAGAAGTTGAACCACTTGGTAGCGGGTGCTTTCACCCCAATTTCAGTACTAAGCTTACCAGCTAGTACCATAATTAATTATAGAGAGAAATAAGAAGCCAGAAATGGAAACAAAATAAGGGATGAGAATTTGGGAAACGTATTCGTCGCCTTAAATAAAGAATTCCATACCCAATAATGTCAAAATTTTCTAATTAAAATATATGTAATTCATTGCTGTAATCCACTCCTATCTGCTCCCATATTTTATATAAACACTAAATATAAACGCTAACCCATGATTCGCACGAGATTATTTTTTAATTTTCGATCAAAATATTTTTTTAGTTTTTATAGTTTCATTTATTTTGTATTTTAAATTTTTATAATTTAAAATATACATTTTTAGTCTACATATTTATCTTTTAATTTTTTTAGTCTTTATAATTTAAGATAAAACATTTTAGTATCTATACTTCCAATTTTTAATCCTTTTATTCCTATCCTTAATTTTTTGTTGTTGTAATGTTTGTTTTGTGTTAACATAGTAGAGACCACCAATTTTATGAAGGTAAGAAAAGAGTTTCTCAACAATAAGTATCATAGGTGAGGGTACAAAATGCATATAAAACATCGAGAGACCTAAGTAAGGATGTAACACAACAAACTTTTCATTTATTTAATTATATATATTATTTAAATTATGACTGAGCTGATTTTACAATGTATTTTATTTATATAAATAAGTGTTTTAATAATTATTTTTATATGAATATGTATTTTTTATAAGGTTTATAATTAAATGTTTTATGCTATTATTATTATCATTATTTTGAGGGAATGAATGTGTAACCTGAGTTATTTGTGTAACTATTATTTAGGGTAAAGGGGAGTTAAAGTTTTTAAAAGGAAAGAGTTGCTGAAGTTTGAAGAATATGAAGGAGAACCAGAGTTCGTATGAGAACATTATGAAACTTTGCACCCTTCATCTAGCAATTTCCAAGGTAAGGAGGAATTGAATAGTCTTACTCTCAGCATGAGATAATTATTTGGAAAGTGAGAGTCCTCACCTTATTTGTTATATGCCTATGGTGAAAGGGGAAAATCCCAATTTGTGAATTGTTGTTTGTCATATGACTCTTCAACTCTTTATTTGACGTCGTTAAAACATGTGTATGTTCAATTTGAAATTGATTTGATGTGTTTTTGGATTGCTTGTAGGATCTTATAGGAACACTAAGGGAAAATGTTTAGATATCATTGTGTGAGTAATTAATAGAAATATGTAATTATGTGAAATTCTTGTCTTTTAGATGTGTAATATGATTATTTTGAAGTGTTCTATCAATTGGGTAGTTGGAGGTAGGTTAGGATTAGTGGAAATGTTGAGACACAACCATAAGCCCTCACAAAACCCTTCCCGTAGCCACCAAAGTCAGATTTCTCACCTAGTCACTATTTGCTTCTCTCTCAAGGCACCTTTTTCTCTTCCAAGAGTGAAAAGAAATGAGTTTCTCACAAAGTCAAATCCTTTTTTCCTCCTTAAGACCAATTGTTGTGAATGCATCTTGAGGTAATCTCTTGCATTTTCTCTTCCTTTTCCTTTTCTATGAATGTGACCCAAAAGGAATATTTTTTATTTCAAAAATATGATATGGTTTAATTTGGGGTTGGTTTTATGTTTTTTATAGAGTGGTTGTTCGAAAAGTACACTAAAAACCTCTCCACTTAATAAAAAAGGTGTTGCTTTCCTCCTCATTTCCAAAGAACCCATGTAGAAAATTTTAAAAGGTAAGGGAAGTTTACTTATTAAATGTATATATTTTTTTTGTTGGTAATTGTGATAAATTACGATGTCTGTGATTCTGTTGATTAGTGAAAGTGTGGTTGTCACGTCGTCTGAGGGATTTGTGTTGAGTATGTTGTTTTTGGTAATTTATGAGATGTAATTAAAGTTTTAACATTTGATGGTAGAAATGTTATGGAAATTGGAAAATTAAGATTTAAATGTGAAAAATATTTGCTTTGCCTTTGAAAAAACCCAAAAATGGAAGCTTGGAGAAGAAGACAAATCTTCTCACATAGTTGTTTTGTCATTTTCGTTGAGCAAGGGTTCCTTTTACTGAGTGAGAAAGGAATGGGGAGTAGAGGTGTTTTCTATTAAAATTTCACAAAGCAACAAATATATTTATTAGGCGAAAATTAAATTCGAGAGTTTTGCTAAGAAAAAATTATTTTTTATTGATCGAAAAAGGCGTTTAGAAAAAGAGATACTCTCAGGCTTATTTTTGTTAAGCGACCTCAAGCTTGTTGAAAGAGAAAACCCTTAATCCTCTATACACTACAACACAAATGGTATTTAGCAATATTTAAAAAATGTTACTTAATTATGTATAAATGTGACTAATTTATTTTAGTAACATATTATCAAATGTTGTATATTAGTCCATGTTGTTAAAGACTTTTAGTAACATTTTTGCATAATTAGGTAACATTTTTCAAATGTTATCAAAGTAGTATTTTTGTAACATTTAAATAATTTTTTGTAACATTTTAAGGAAAGACATTAGTTAGTCACTACTAATTGTATATAGAATATCAAATTTCGTTTATTTTAAATATAACTATATGAGTATATATACTCTTTATGAGTCATTAATCTATTCGATGTGGGACTTTAATTATAAGTTACAATTAGAAATAAGAGAATTTTTTTTTCTCGATGTGGGACATTGATTTTAGAAGCAATTATAATAACATTTTTCAAATAAATGTTGCAAAATAACATGTAATTTTTGTTTACTCGATGTGAGACTTTGATTTTGAAAACAATTAGAAAGAATAATATTGAAATACAAAATATTACTCTATCTATAATGACATTTTTCAAAAAAAATGTTACAAAATAACATATTTATATAATATATAGTAACATTTTAACAAATGTAAACAAAAAAATGTTGCTAAAGGATTAAAATCTAGTAGTGATATAAATTGTCCCTAGGTGAAGAATGTCTTCACTTAACAAGGATTATGTCTCACATGGAAATTCACCAAGTGAGAGTATCTTTTGCTTGGCGAATCTTAGCCGAGAATCAAATATATTAGACTTCTTGTTTTGAATTCGCTAAGCAATTTTTGCCTTACCTAACAAGAAACTCCCTAATACATACCTTTGCTCATAATTATATTCTTAATCATTTTCTTCATTTCTATTACATGAATTGTGTTCAGTTAAATGAGTTATATTCAAATTAATTGTAAACTTATTTATTTTGCTGATGAAATATTTTAAAATGATTGAGAAAAGATTTTGATGTGAGACTAGAAGTCCAAATGTCCAATGTTTGGACTTTCATCAAACCTTGGAATTTGTTAGATGGGTTTCTTATAGATGAGTTGAATGGATATGCTAAACTCTATATGGTTATTATAATGATTGGTTGTAGCCATTCAAAAATAATGCATAGTTATGGTTGTGTACGAGTAGGAAAGTAAATTAGGATTTGTAGAGAAAAGAAAGATACTAAAAGGAAAGGTTGAATAGCATTGAATAATATCTATAAAAAAACTCAAATATTTTTTTAAAATAGTAAAGTAGTTAACCAAATCCAAAAAAAGTGCAGACAAAGTAAATCAAATCAAGTACACAAGATATTTTTATATTGACTTGTTTCAACCATCGCAACTGTATCTAATTCTTAATCAACTTGATTAAGTTTCATTATCTTCGACAAAGATACAAATATTTTTTCATAAGTTATTTCTAACTCAACCTAAGTTTTCTTTGATTTACCTTTTTAAGTAAACTACCCAAGTACTCTTTAAACAATAAAGTCTCTCCAAGCTTTCAATACAAAGTATTCTTCAAACAACGAAGCCTCTTCAAGCTTGAAGCTAAAATACACAATTTAAGTTGGGTAAAATAACAAAAAGTTTCATCTTACTTACAAAATGTAATAAAACTTTTGAGTACACAAATTTATAGAGTTTACAAAGAATGAATAAATTGATGATCAATTCTACTCTCTCTATGTGGTTCAATCTTCTTTATATAGGTGATCTTTGAAGATGAGCATTGCAAGTCATTGAGTAGCACTTGTCAACTTGCTTTGTCTTATTTCTTTGTAAAGCTAGGTGTTCATTGGTGCAATAAATATGTTTGCATTAAATACGTTTTACCAAATATGGTCACTTCTTATTTAATTAGCAAAGCTACTTATCATTTTTATAGTACAGAAGGGAAGGATATGTGTAGTGTGTGTCAGTCAAGTTCACATATTTCGAGATATTTTCTTATCTTTTTTCTCACAAAAAGAAAAATCTTATTACTTTATGTGTTACAAGTATCAAAAACGTTTTTATTTCTTCGATCTATTAAGGAATAACATGAAGGCAGATGATAGAGATATTAGTTATATTCAATGTGATATTTAAAATGTTTGTCTTAGATAGATGAAGAGTTCAATCTAGCTAAGAGATTATCATGGTTTTCATCGTTTAGAATTGTCTTTAAGCTATTTTCTTAGGCATATGATCTTTATACATTTTTTTTTGCAAAAATGTCAAATTTTATTATTATTAAAAAATAACTTTTTGAGGGATCTCAAATCACCTTGTGATCTATCATGGTTGCATGGTAAGGCCTCAACCTAGTGTTTGGAAATTTTGGTGTTGGCTAAAGTTAAATGAACTAAAAAATGTGAGGACATAGAAATATCAAATGAGGCTTTGGTGCTTGTAAACCTAGTCATTGTAAGTCACAACATATGACCCTTTATTTCCAACAAAAACATTAGTCTTGTATATGATTAACCATTGCACTCCCTTAATGGTTGTAGACAAGTTCCCTATTAAGGAATATATGTTTATATATGTTGATTGCTCAATCATTGAAAATTCCTTTAGAGTAGTAACTTCATGACATAACATACATTTATACATGTAACTTGTGATGGAAATCTTAGAAGAGACTTGATTCATGTAGTTTCTTCTTTCAAGATTTTTGGATGGATCTTTAACTTCTTGGACTTCTTCAAGTTCCTTCAATAGCTTCCAATGATGTTAGAAGCCATTTCTAACACACAAGGAAAGGTAAGATCTCCCTTAACTAATGTCACATTCTTAAAGAGTGATAAG